CAACACATTAACATGATGACGGGGAAAACCAACCGCCGAACGGCTGCAAGACGTCGACATGATAGTTCATTACCAGCATCTTCTTCATCAACAGGTTGAATCACAACGCCACCAACTTCCATACGACTCCGCGAAGATTTCTCGTTAGCTTTGGCTCGAGTCTTAAACACAGGGATGTGAAGGTTTTACCATACCTTTGAACGAGACTGTATTTTTGTATACAATATCCTTCATAACCTCTAATGGGAGTTCCCCTGGCAGCAAGCAAGGCTGCGTTCATACTTTAAGACTCGGAAAAACTGGCGTTTTTATTGAATACGGGAACATGAAGTATTGGTATCGATCTGGCATTCCGAGAGAAACGGCAGTTAAAGCAAAAGGAAAGTGTGGGTATTAAAAGGCGTACCGGAACGCCTTTTTTTCAAAACGTCAGAATGGTACTTCAACTTCCTTTTTCACTCAAAACGCCGATTCCTCGAGTCGCAAAGCATGAACGCAGCCCAAGCTCCGCACTTTAGCGCGTTTATGCAACATCTCGGTGTTCTCTTCTTTTTAATGAGACTCTGATTATTCTATTATCCAAGGAGACAAAAGAATCATGACATACAGTTCAATATAATGGTGAAAACTCATTTTCCAGACATAGAGGAGCTATAAGAAATCAAACGAGTTCATGGTAAGACTTACGAAACAAACCTTGGCGTTTACATATTGTTGATAAGCATGCGAGTTTTGATAGGCCTTGAAAGCTTTCTCATATTCGACCTAGAATTTCGATGCATAATAAAAGAAAACCGTAAACAAAACGCCGAAGAAACCATGGGAATTTTAAATAATTGAAATGGTTAATGCAGGAGAAACTCGCCTTTTCAATTTCATACTCGTGCTGATAAACAGCTTTGTCCGAATCCGGAATATCCCTCCACATTTGGCCGATGATCTTACCGATGTCCCAAAGTTGTGCTTCAGGATTTTCAGCACGAACCTGTACAGGTCCATGATCATAGTGGAATGTAGCATATCACGAACTTGATAATAACGATCATATTAAAAAACAATTGTCAATTGCTCTCGCAAATATCCCTTTTTCAAAGTTTCATATGAACTACATACCTTTGACCACATCTTGCGGCTATATCGCATATAAGGGACCAGTGGCCGATCAGGTGGCTTCGGAGCTTTCATGGCATAATCCGCTTGAGTCTGAAATATGTCCTTTTATGAAACAAGGTGCAATTCGGCGACAAAGGGGGGGGGTTTGCCTTTTCGCTGCCTCACTAGCTCCGGTTTACAAGTCATTTCGTGACTTCACAAGATTTCACAGGTCTCCACGCCAGGCTCGACACGTCGAAGGGAAGTAGCAAAAGAGTAGAATGCTCCCCTGCCCCCTTCCCCAGTCGCCGA